TGTTAAGGTTTATAAACTGAGATCAAAGGAACATTCCAAATATTGTAATTACCTGTGCTTATTGCATAATTGTTTTAGTTATTTATTTGAAATGTTTTACTAGGAAGGATACAGTGCATGTTGCAAAAGTCCACTTTCCCAAGTGTTTCTAAGGGTTGTTGCTTATAACTGCAGAATGACTTGTCTATAGCAGTCTGACATGCTTTCTCAACCTTGACTCCCTCCTCGACCCTCTTCAATCTGGCTTCTGCTCCTTCCGTTCTACTGAGACTGCTATGACTAGAATAACTAGTGATCTACTCAGGGCTAAATCCAAAGGCCACTACTTCATACTAATTCTTGTGGACCTCTCTGCTGCATTTGACACTGGTGATTACACACTTTTTTGTTAAATTCTTCATACCTTTGCGACACTGTCCTTTCATGATTTTCTCATAACACCTCCTCCCCTTATCCTGTATCAGTTGGAGTCCCCCAAGGCACTGTGTTTGGTCCCCTTCTGTTTTCTCTTTATGCTGCCTTTCTTTGCAAAAATATTAATTCTTTGAATTCCACTACAACATATATGCAAATGACACACAGAGCTATCTCTTCTGTCCTTTTTATCCCAGTGCCATAGTCTCTTCCATCTCTGTTTGCATGTCCTGACACTTTCTAAAACTCAATCTTTCAAAAACTATATCTTCTCTCCTCATAATTCTAATTCCCGCTATTGATTCTCTCTACCTGCAAGTTGATGTTAACGCACATCAGCACATCCTTTCAAGCTCACTACATTGGTGTTAATTCCTGTCAATTCCACCTTAAAAATATTTCCAACATTCTCTCCTTTCTTACTCAAGCTGATACTAAGAAGCTTGTTCATTTTCTAGAATTTTTTGCATTGTATAATGTAGTCTCTCCAGAAGCCGTAATGCTTCTGAAGTTCTGAACAGTCTATAATGAATGGTGCTTCCAGGTTTCTTTTTCCTCTCTTGATGCATCTCTCATACGTCACTCCTCTGTCAGTCATTACATTGGCTTCCTGTACCCTATATAATTAAATTAAAACAGATTAATTCTTATCTACAAAACTCTCAACAACTCTACCTCCCCACTACATTCCGTTACTATTTCCTTGGTGCACAACTTCTCAGTCACTCTGCTGTTGTGGTGGCCTTCTCTTATCCACTACTCGTACTCATACTGCTAACCCACACTTACAGGGCTTCTTGTAAGCAGTGCCCTTATTATGGAACAACCTGTCTCCTCCCAATAGATTCTCTCCTAGTCGTCAAACCTTTAAGAGGTCCATTAAAACCCATCTCTTCAGAATAGTCTATTGCCTCCCAGAATAACTGTCATTCCTCACTGTTTAATTGTCAGGAAACCCATGTAGCCATTGTCTCATTGATGTGAATTAAATTTTTAATATATGTAGTTAACACTTTAAAAATTTTTTTTATAATTGTATCCATACAAATTTTTGTGTGCCACCATTCAAGCATAAAAAATTTACAAGTAAAATTTGAAGAAGAAAAAAAACTTATATTTAGAAGTCATTACTCTAGAGTTACGTATCAGAATACAGATACACTGCAGTCTTGCGAAATGCAGCTGTTCCCATCCAACTGGCAAGTGCTAATCTGAGTACAGAAGCTGAGACCAGCACTTTAACCTGACCATCTGTCCACGCTTATAACAAACAGGAAAGAATACAAGATTCTGTCTGTGACTGTGCTTCAGAAACTCTTCACTGATAACAGTTACTAAAACCATATTAAAAACAGTGCTCTATAAAGGTGAAATCCTGGAATAATATAAAATAACAATGTGTTCTATTCTCAAAGAAAGTAATATTAGGTTAGGAAATTCAATCTACTAGATATCTAATTTAGCAATTTCACCAAATACCTAGAGTACCCCAAATAAAAGTCCAATCATGTTTTAGGGATTTGTTTGTGAATTTGCATGTTCATGTTGCAAATCCTTCATTTTTCAAATGGAAAAAAACATATTTGCCAGAGGTATTTTTGCTAAAATGGGAATGCATTTAACAGCAAAATAGCTTCACTTAAAAGTAGCAGATTTATAAGTTTTTTCATTTGGGCTATTTTTGCTTAAAATTTTCAATTTCCCCAGCAATTCTTCACAATGTGATGACATCAGAGGCTAGGAGGAAGTGACTGCCCCCATCACTCCTCCCAGCAACCACTGGGAGCCGTGCAGGAGGAAGGAGAGGGAGTCAGAGTGGGAACTCTGACTCCCATTAGGCTGAGCCACCACTGGACCCAAGGGAAAGATATGTGTGTCTTTATGTGTGTGTGTATGTCTGTCAGTGTGTCTGTCTATGCCTGTATTTCTGTGTGTGTCTGTATGTATGTGTGTCTGTCTGTCTATATCTGTGTGTGTGTCTGTATGTGTGTGTATGTCTGTGTCTGTATGTGTGTGTGTGTGTCTGTCTATGTGTATGTATGTGTGTCTGTGTGTGTCTGTATGCATGTGTGTGTGTCTACATGTGTATCTGTTTGCATGTGTTGGGGGAGGTGGGAACGTATGGGGGGAGGGTGGCGGGGGTAGAGTTAGGTGGAAGGCCCCAGGGCAATTTTCACACCGGGGCCCCGGGGTTTCTAGTTACGCCTCTGGATACTATAGTGATCATCATCTTGTGCATTCAGGTTGGCTGTTTAAGGCTATTTAGATGACTGAAACACTGTAAATAGAGTCCTAAGTAAATGAACTTATTGCTGTTGGGGGTCATACAATTCATTAAGACAACAGGTTCTATATTGGACTAGCAGTCTGCAAGAACACTTCCAACAGTACGTTTAGTGAATTAATGTCATAACTTGTTGCTTTAATGTCTAACATTGCAAAGGTTTTTGCCATATGGTAGACATTAACACAATTTTACTATTCTGTTTCATTTAGAGCTTATCAACCCACCCTTACCCCCCCTATAAAAGTTTAAAACTCACCTTATTTCCAGGGCCACGCGGGTGCATTTTTGGAAATGTAACTTTCTCATAAGGTCCCTCTACCTCTAGCGCTTTTTCAGTGTTTTTTTCCCTGACTCTGCCTCTTCTCCCCAAGCATTCTATGTCGGTGTCCCCCAAGGTTCTGTTCTTGGTCCCCTACTGTTCTCTATCTACACTGCCTCCCTTGGTAAACTCATCAACTCCTTTGGCTTACGTTATCATTTCTATGCGGATGACGCAAAAAAAATCTACCTGTCCTCTCCTGATCTCTCTCCGCCCATCTTGACTTGTGTCTCTGACTGCCTCTCTTCAATTTCCAAATAGATGACTGCTCACTTCCTTAAACTCAACCTGTCCAAAACAGAACTTCTGGTCTTTCCTCCCTCAAGTGTTACTACTCCCGTGTCTGTCTCCCTCCATGTCAACGGCGCTACCATCACCCCTGGGTTTTCTTTTTGACTCCAACCTCTCCTTCACCCCTCATGTCCAATCAATCACCAAATCCTGTCGCTTCCATCTCAGAAACATAGCACGCACCCGCCCCTATTTAACCCTGGATGCGGCTAAGTTGCTGGTCCATGCTTTTGTTCTCTCTCGCCTGGACTACAGCAATACTCTTCTCAGTGGTCTTATATGTTCCCAGATTGCACCGTTGCAATCTATAATGAATGCAGCGGCAAGACTCATTTTCCTGTCCGCTCGCACCTCCCACGCCTCCCCGCTCTGTCAGTCCCTGCATTGACTTCCAGTTAGATATAGGGCTCAATTTACAATGCTGGTGCTTGCTTACAAGTCCCTACATAATGTTGCTCCAACCTACCTATGCTCCCTAATACACAAGTATGTCCTGTCAAGGCCCCTACGCTCTGCCAAAGACCTACGTATATCCTCTGTCCGTACTCCCAACTCTAACGCTCGCCTCCAAGACTTTTCCAGGGCTGCAACTCTTCTGTGGAATTCCCTTCCTGTCTCCATAAGAATTTCACCCAGTCTCCACTCATTCAAAAAATCATTGAAAACTCACTTCTTCAAGAAAGCATATCAATTAAACTGTTAGCAGGTTTTTATCCCCCACCCACCCCATGACTCCTCTCCTGCAACTGCCAAAAATTACCTACTAAGCCCTCAGTGAATACTTTTCTAACAACCTACTTTGCACCTCTAATTTTACCATTTGTGTCACTATACCCCACTCCCTCTAGCATGTAAGCTCATTGAGCAGGGCCCTCCACCTCTCTGTTCCTGTACGTCCAGTTGACTGGTTACAATTACATGTCTGTTAGTCCACCCATTGTACAGCGCTACGGAATCTGATGGTGCTGTATAAATAATAATAAAATAATAAAAATAATAATCACACTTTGTTTTCAGGTTGCAGCTGACAGTGGAATTTCTACAAGGATTTACAAGGTGCATTTTGTTGCCCCCTCCCTCCTTCACACTTCTACCCAGAATATGCCGCTTTTACACAGATATCACGGTTACCCCCCTTTTTCTTCTGTACCCCATGACATTTACGCTTTTGAAAATAAAGAAAAATTTATTTAAAAAAAACCAAAAAACAGATATCACGGTTAATTTTATTTTTAATACACCTATAGGCACACAATTTGGGAAGTGCTCCCTACTTCTTTCTCCCCCAAAAATAAAAAAAATATTAACACATTCACACACATTATTACATATACATTCTCATACACATATATTCTCACACACATACGTTTACATGTGCACACATTCGCTCGCGCACACTCACACATCCTCTCTCACACACTTACACATACTCAGTCTCTCTCACACACATACACACCCACCCACTCACAAATTACTTTTTTAAGATGTCCAAAGCCTCTCCTTGGTTTCTTTCTGCATGTCTCTGTATTTTTAGATTTCCAGCTCAGCAAACATAGTAAGATATGGAGAAAATAACTCATCAGTATACAGTTCTATGTGTGAAAATTCCAAACAGCTCAATAAGACAGCCACATACATCACAGACTGAATTCCAAAATAGCCAAATTCGAAAAAAATCTTCAAGTCAACTTTTTAAATTAAAAAAAAAAGTATTTATTATTTTTTTCAATCATTTTACATTCACTTTGAACTGCTGGCAATTTAAATTTTAGTGAATAAATGTGCTAATTTCAACCAATGCAACATTAGAATGTATATTTAAAGACATATAATCACTGCACACGTTTCTTGAGGTAACACAAAAATGCTTGCTACCTGCATACCTTGGGGGAGTGTAGTCATTAAACAGTGAATTATCTTGAAAGTTAAAGGATGAAGATGTTAAATGCAAAAGTTTAGTAGTTTTTAAAATTTTACTATTTTTTTCACTTCCGTTCTGTTCAATTCTGCTCTCAGTTTACTAAGGGTGAATGAAGTGTATTTAACTTTTTATCATGTATCTCATGTAGTTTAAATGAGTTAACACTGAAATAAAATTTAGCCCACTTGTAAATATAAACATATCGCTATATGGCTGTGGAGGAATTTAAAGGCAAAATAGAATATGTTTTATCCTTGCTTTTGCATCACCTAGGTGCGTGTGCTAGAATGTGAGTTTAGTTTTTTAGTTAATATGTCACAAAGAAAATTATTTGTGTCACTGCTGTCTGGATAACTCACCTCGTGAATTCTCAGTCATGTACAGCATGCAGCCTCTCCAACACTGGTGACTCCTGAAGAGTTTGCTTCATAAAGGAAGGCCAATGACAACTACCTGCCACACCAAGTGCTGATTGGAACCTCTGCCCATGCAACGACTGTCATTCAGTCCAACAGAATGATGGCTATATCTGACACTTGCCAATCACTATAAATGGCCAGTTGGGCCTTACTATTGTCCATAACCTTTAGTTACCTGTTACTAATTTTGGCTAGTTATTGGTGATTTTGGCCTCTAGTACCCCTTAAACCGAGTTGGAATTCCATTTATTCTTAGCCTAACCACTCTAGGGACTGGTACATCCTGCTATCTTTTCTTCTCTGTCTTACTGACTAAGTTCTGAATGTGGGATTTCATTCCTGTTTGTGGCAATGTGATGTGTTGTGAACTGTGGTGAAAATATGAAAATGTTGTCTCAATAATCAAATTCGGTGTTGGAGAATTTTCCAATTTGCCTGATTTTTAAATAATTTTGCAAATTCAGTCTTGTGCCACCCACTTTTTAGTCAGTAATTCAATTTTAAGTTACTAAGCCTTTATGATTAATTTTACTTGTTTAATAATTTTTTTTCCAGTAACAGAGAAACTGTCTTTTCTATACGCTATCAAGCTCATTAATAAACCGGCATGGTGGTGTGTAAAGATGAAAACATTTATGTGTGATTTGGAAGTCTACTGTGTCTATCTGCTGTTAAAAGCTGTCATCTTGAGTGCTTTTCCCATGGTTATATAAGCAGGTCTCTCATTAAATTGTTTGTCAGGTAGCCGATTGTTTCATTGTTTGAATTATTTCCGAGATTTCACGTATATTTCTCGTTTGTTCCCACCATTAAAATCCATTTTGTAGTGTCTTTCATTGGTTTTTTAAAAAAAAAAAAGGATATATGACTCACATATTTGTTTCACCAAAATAGAAAGGTTGACAAGTGGGACATTTAAAGCACTGCTTGATCTCAAAAGTAATGCAAAAACAGAATAAAGAACAAGCGTACATTTATTTTTCTGAAGTACAAAGTTAAGAAAATCTATAAATTGAACAGTCTTAGTATAATACAACATATTTATGAAAATAAATACAATATAAATACAATATTCTGTTGACCCCATGTACAAAGAACATTATACAGGCATATAGTTAATGAGCTATTTTTTTCTGTTTCTTTGAAGTAGATTTATTGTTATATTTGATTGATTTTTCAATCTGTATTTTGTATCCATCATTTTTTCAATGTTGAACATTTTTTGATATTGGGGGGCTCATGTTCCATGCTATAATCTTAATTCTTAATTAAAGTTTTAAAGTGGCACTATCACTAAATAAAACTTTTTATGAATCAGTTTCAAACAATATTACAAATACATTATATTAATGTCATCTAACATAACTTTAGTAATTTTAGCTGTAATTATCGTTTGACGATCTTACAGTGTACAGTGTGTAGGTGGCCATTTTAGAATTGCAATAACATTTTAAAATCCTCACTGACAATAAGTAACATATTAAATAACTTGATGGTGCTGTATGCCCAACATGCCTGATGAGAAGCAAATTTGGCTTTTTTATTTTTATCGAAACAAACATAAAAAAACTGCAAAACAGATTTACGAATGATCAAAGCATAACATTGGCAGGCCTACAAGAGATTATCGAGCTACTTTAAAGAGTGCTCTACTTATTTACTATTGATGAATGTGCAGGGATCTATAAGTGGTAATTAAGAAGACACTGAGTTCCAAACAGTAGGTTTGGGTTCTGATGACGGCATAGGCTGCCTTCTGTCCTTAGAATAGCAATAGGACATGCAGCTAGCTTCAGCCTAAACAATGATTTTGTTCCTTCTGGAATTGTTTGAGGCTACCAAAGGTCAATAAGCCATAAAACCAGTAACAACAAGAAAAAAAAAATCAACTTTTTTTTTTTTTACTTCAAAGTTATGAATACTTTTTTAATTTACAAAACTTGATTTATTAACAATTAAAAGTTCAACACGTATCCACCAACAACATGGGCATGGATGCTTTTAGCAGCCGGTTTGCCAACCACCTCTGCATGTATGCAGTGTGTAACATATGCGTGCATATATTATTACCATTCATGCATAAACCATCCATCTATTTTCACTAGTATCCCCCCAAAACAGAACACGAAATGAGGATGTGGGTCTTCACAACTAAACTGCACATTCCCGCTGGTGTCATTGTGAGGTACTATGTGAACATTAATAAGGGACTTGTTGCAGGCTACTATTGCTTCAATATTATTGTACGACAGGATATACTGCTATGTAGCCTTGAATTGAAATGAATTCCTGCTCCTGGAGGAGATATGAGAAATCTGCAGTTCTGGAACAACTTGACATTTTTATTGTCGCTGTAGAGTTGCGTTTCCATACAGGAAATTTGAAGATATTTTAATGTCTCATATTCTATATTCCATTACAAATACGAGAACGTCAAGCTGGCTAAAAAAGCATGTTTGTTTGACAAATAACAATTTCTTGTAACAATCAGTTTGAAGAAGATGAATAATTTCTTGTAATAATCAATTTGATGTAAACATTTCAGGCTAAATATCTCCAGCAATATAATATTTTTTTTAATTTTTGGATAATGTACCCGACCAGACATAAACATATTGTGCAGACCAAATATACGCCTGCGTACGCACATATACACATGCGGATGTAGAGAATCCATCGGCATCTCTCATGTTTAGTATAGCTCGCCTCTTCCTATTTGAAGAGATGAAGAGTCTGATTTAAATATTGTCTTCATATAATTTTCTAATGGTCAAACTGTATGCTGAAAATGAAAAACAACATAAATGACACAAATTAGAACAAATATACCACTGTCCAACTAATTTAATTTGTATTATTAACATTGTACTTATAGCATGGGATGCAGAACCGCATCGTAGATGTTGTTTAAAACAGTAATTTAGTGTATAAATAAAATAAACAGAAGGATAAAATGATGTAAATGTTTGAATTTTTTTATGAGTTCCTTCTTTACAGAGATATTGTAGAGGTAAAACATTCTAGAGATTATGAGACATTCCTCGGTGAAATATTATTGCACAAATACCATTAAACACATGCAGTGGTGTGACGAAAATTGCTGAATAAAAATATTAATCCTCCTAATTGATAATTATAATAATTATAATGATCAGATGGCATTTTTGGAAATGTAACTTTCTCATATGGTCACAAGAATAAAATAAAAAATAAATAAAAATAAAATTGGATTATGGGCAAGGAACAGCTTTTCTTGTAACTTGAGCATAATTCCTGTAGTATATTCAATGTGCCTTCATCCTCTTCACTCATTTAGAACAGCCTTGTCAATTGAACTTCAAAAGTAGCTGTTGAGTGTACAAGAAAGAAGGGGGTGCTATTAACATTACCACTGCATTGATGTAGAACCAGACTGAAGATAAATGGGATTTTATATAAGGCAAAGAAGAACACTGGATCAATAGGGAAAAGATGTTGGAGCATGTGGGCAATATTTAGTTTTCCATTGGTTTGCAATATAAAACAAAATGTAACAGGAGCTTAATGTAACCAGACAGTCTCACAGAAACCATCTGATTGGAGCAGCGTGGCGTTTTGCCACAAATGTGCACTCGTCTGATGCTTTCCTTTGGAAAACCATTGAAATGGCTGAGATCATCAACCTGTGGTGAGAGGGAGAAAAGGTAAAATATACTTCTTTTTAACTTCATTAAAATGGGGTTCTGAAGTGTGGGTCAGGACCTAAACTTTTAACAAGGCACTAAAGTTTTGGGAACACACATTTGTTTTCCTAATGCTATACTGTTCCATTATACCAAATAAAGGGGGATAAGTTAGCCTAATAAATAAAATCCCAGTAAGTAACATTCCGGGGCTCTTTTATTAGTTCGTTTGTTTAGAGACCCAAAGAGTAGTCTTTTTGCGCATAGTGATGGATCTGCCCTATTCACCCTTGTAGCAATAAAAGAGAGGTTTCCTTCTTCCTTTTAGCAACTACAGAATAGAATATTCACGGAGGAGCACATGGACACACTAGGTGGGTCCTGGATAAAAGTTGCATCCAGCTGCTCGCCCACCAAGTTATACCTGGAACCTGTACATCTTCTATCTAACTGATTGTTGTGAAATGTAAAATATTCTATAGAAAGTGAGGTTCCAGTGAAGTGTACAGCTGTTGTTGGATGACATTTTTGTGTTATATTGTATTCCTGACACAGCACACATATACAATACCGATAAAGATGGCAATAGTGACTTTAATAATGAATGAATGATTAAAGTCATCTAATGAAAATCACTAAGCATCCATAACCATGTGATAGATATTCATTGATATTCACCTGGCATACAACATGTAATATAAGTGAAATACATTTGCATTTTTTTGTATAAAATTGTTATTGGAGATTGCTATAATTCAGTACAAAGAGTTATGACTTCATTGCTCGAAATTAACAAGTTATGTGCTCTCCAATTGCAGTTTTTAGTTTTTTTTAATGAGACAACAGAGCAAGTGACATATCTTAACAGCCAATAAAATAAGTAAAATCAATCATAATATATGTAATGCAGTAAAATCTTTATGTATTGGTGATAAGTGATAGGATATGTTGGAAATGAAAGTGCAAGTGTTTCCGAATAGTTACATAGTTACATCGGCTGAAAAGAGACGTGTTTATAAAATTTAGCCTTTATTGAAATTAGCCACGTGTAAATTATAGTATATAGTGTGGATCGGTGTTGAAGGTCCATTGGATAGTTTTGATGTTCTGAACTTTATTTAAAGGCTTCTTCCGCTCTGCTTACTCAAATATGCCAAATACTGTCTACACTTAGACTAGGCTGAACTTGAGCCCTCAAACTGTGTCTGTAAATAAGTGAACCTGTTCCTAGAAATGTTATAACCCGGGGCAGGCCAACAGGCTGTGTTTAATGTCTGCATTTTGGAACATCGCTGCAACCTGCTTGTTGATAGAAACAGTGGATCACCAAATCTTCATGAGAATCTTGTAGAGAAGGTACATTTATTGTTGAGATTGGTGTAGTGCAATCAAGTTTAAGTCATACCAGGGTAGGTGGGGTTTTAAAAGGTTAAAGGACCACTATAGGCACCCAGACCACTTCAGCTTAATGAAGTGGTCTGGGTGCCAGGTCCATCTAGGGTTAACCCTGCAGCTGTAAACATAGCAGTTTCAGAGAATATTTTAACCCCTTCCTCCCCCTTCAGCACGGCGGGAGGGGGACCCAGAGGGTGGGGGGACCCAAAGACCCTATAGAGCCAGGAAAACGAGTTTGTTTTCCTGGCACTATAGTGGTCCTTTACGTATGAAGGTCAATGAGGGTGAAGGACCATTTAGAGGTGTAGTTGTGAAAATCAACTAATTTAAAGATATACCGTAACTGCAATAGATAAAAACCTAAAAGTGTTCACTGTTGTTAGCTCCCATTCAGCATTGAAACATAGAAACATAGAATGTGACAGCAGATAAGAACCATTCGGCCCATCTAGTCTGCCCAATTTTCTAAATACTTTCATTAGTCCCTGGCCTTAACTTATAGCTAGGATAGCCTTATGCCTATCCCACTCATTCTTAAACTCCTTCACTGTGTTACCTCTACCACTTCAGCTGGAAGGCTACTCCATGCATCCACTACCCTCTCAGTAAAGTAATACTTCCTGATATTATTTTTAAACCTTTGCCCCTCTAATTTAAGACTATGTCCTCTTGTTGTGGTAGTTTTTCTTCTTTTAAATATAGTCTCCTCCTTTACTGTGTAGATTTCCTTTATGTATTTAAATGTTTCTATCAAATCCCCCCTGTCTCGTCTTTCCTCCAAGCTATACATGTTAAGATCCTTTAACCTTTCCTGGTAAGTTTTATCCTGCAATCCATGAACCAGTTTAGTAGCCCTTCTCTGAACCCTCTCTAAGGTATCAATATCCTTCTGAAGATACGGTCTCCAGTACTGTGTACAATACTCCAAGTGAGGTCTCACAAGTGTTCTGTACAGTGGCATGAGCACTTCCCTCTTTCTACTGCTAATACCTCTCCCTATACAACCAAGCATTCTGCTAGCATTTCCTGCTGCTCTATTGCATTGTCTGCCTACCTTTAAGTCATCAGAAATAATCACCCCTAAATCCCATTCCTCAGATGTTGAGGTTAGGGCTCTATCAAATATTCTGTACTCTGCACTTGGGTTTTACGTCCAAGATGCATTATCGTGCACTTATCCACATTAAATGTCAGTTGCCACAACTCTGACCATTTTTCTAGTTTACCTAAATCATTTGCCATTGATACAGATTTTATCTCACCTAGGTAATTACCAAGGGAACATATAACATATGGGATTACATATTCCATCAAAAGAACCACAATTGTAGACAGGTTTCCTCTGCGAGAAGTACAGCAACCCCAGGAAAAAAGGATTTTATAGGCCTCATTAGTGAAGTGTGCTTGTGCACACCTGGATTACATGATAGACTTAGGGAGAATCTAGTGAGGTGCAAATAAGACAAAAATAGACACTTGTACTTAGAATTAATGACATATGACTAGTTCCCACTCAGGAGGTCTTGAAGACATTTTAGCTCTCTTGTGCTACTATAATGAGGATCATGTAATTATATTATATGCATCTGGATCACAAATAAAAATATTCTGTAGGACATATCCGCATTGTGACTATTTGCAGTGTGATTAGAATACAAATCATTTTGATTAATTCAAACAAGTCAACTGGCCATCACTCAAAGCCAGATGCACCATGTATTCCTTCTTCATAATTCACTGCCTCCCTACTTGATCAGTATGTTTATTCTATCTTGGCACACCCCATTCATCAAATTCTTCTTATCTCTGGTTTATTTCTTGCACTTTACTGTCAATTTAATATAACAAAGATGCAGGTTCAGCAGCCTTTTCTTACTGAACTCTGCAACTGTGGAATAACCTTCTAAAAAGATGAGAGCTTCTACCAGTTTGACAACTCCAAAAAGAACTTCCACTTATTTGTGGAATCAAACCATGTAACTCCTGGCAGTCTTCACACCTTTACTCATATCATATGTTTTAAATATGTATCTCTGCTAATCACTGTATTGTTTGTGCATTGCAAATATATTTGAGAAAAAGAGTGATTTTTATGCATTTTCCAGGAAAACCTTTTTCTAAATAAATGCATAAACAGAAGGAACCTATACTATTTGCACATCTGCATGAAAATACAGCAACATCAGATGGTTGTTTCAGCTTTGTCACCTGATATTCTTCTAGGCACAATGAGCAAGGGTCTATGTCTGGAGTACAGTGTTGGATTTAGGAAGAAAGAATGTGCAAATATTTTGTCATGAACTGTCTTGGTGAGGAAGGCAATCAACACCAAACCTACTATACCAGACAATAGAGGGAGTATTAGTGGTCTTTAGGGTGGTTTGAATAAATGCAAAAACAGACGAGGGAATATTCAAAATTCTAGCAAGGGTCAAGGACAGGCAGGAGTCGACAGGTGTCATGACAAGAACAAAGTGCAAGAGACTACATTACTTAGAATTTTCTGCTAGCTGTATGCAGTGTTACTTGGTTGTGTTGGCAGTAGATGTAGGGGCTGAGAATGTTATGTGTAAATAACACATGATAAGCCACCCAGCTCTCACATCCCATCATTTAGTTGTTTTTGTAAAAAAAAAAAAAAGTGATATACCGTTGTGAAATGGACCACACAATACGTTGCGATAACCAGAAGACCAATGATGATTGATGCAATTGCAACATACAGTGCATTTCGTCCCAGTCTCCTAGATCCTTCTATGTCTCCATCATTATAGCTGTTTAAAGCCTGCAATATTAAAATAGAAAGATTGAGCAATTTCTGATACTCCAGTAATGGTTTGAATATATAGTACAGAAATTGGCATATTTTTATTAAAAATCTTGTATTTCATAAACAGTCATTGACACATCTTGTTCTTGGAAAGTTAGCTTGTTTTACTGCTGCATAACAACCTAGAGATTATTACTGTCTCCATAACTCTTGGAAAAAAAAAAACCTAAAAACTAATGCCCTATAGAATATCTCTGTCATTAAACAGTATACAATGTTTGTGTTTGTGTATATATATATACACCCCTCACATTTTTGTAAATATTTTATTATATCTTTTCATGTGACAACACTGAAGAAATGACACTCTGCTACAATGTAAAGTAGTAAGTTCTCCCTGATCCCACTATTTACATATATATATATATGTAAATAGTAGGATCAGGGAGCAGCGCCTGTGATGGATTTCCCACGCTCAGAGCGATATGGAGGACGGAAGGAAAAAGACATGGATATAGTGTAGTATGTTATGATCTTAAGTGATAGTAAATGAAGGGAAAGGAATTGCACTTACAATTTTCTGGAGCTTATACTCAGCTCCAGATATGTGCGCCTGGACGGTATAATCCCCGTCTATGGATATGTAGATGGTCCTTGGATGTCCTCAAAAGGGGGTCTCCAGAGGTAGTAAGGTATATCTCCTTTCCAATAGCAGTGGGCCGGTATTCGAAAAGTTGGAGATATATAAAAAAAAGAGGACAGAAACAAAATTTTTTAACATAAAACAGCTTTAGAAACACTAACGCGTTTCTCCTGCAAAGAGGCTTTATCAAAGTGTTACAGCATTAGAGGCCTATCCTGTTTAAATAGCAGATACAACTGATTACATCATTACAATTATTGACATCATCAATCATGTGATACAAAAAAAATATTAAAACAAACAATAATACAGTGCAGGTGGGTGGGGGACATAAAATAGGTATAAATTATCAAATGGATAAACATAAATCTTAAAATTGTGGAAGATAAAATAAGAGGATGTGGCAGTTTTAAAAAGGGCACCAAGATGGCTGCCAAATTCTATTAATTGGGGACACCAACATGGCTGTCGCTTAGTTATATCTATATGAAAAGTGTGGATGGAGTACCTAAATCCCTAATATAGGGGATGGGGAAATGGAAGAGATGTCTCCCTGCTGAAAACGAACATTTTTGAGTGAAAAAAAGGCACCAAGATGGCTGACAAATTAACATAATTTGGCAGCATTCTTGGTGCCCTACTTAAAACTACCACATCCTCTTATTTTATCTTCCCCAATTTTAAGATTTATGTTTATCCATTTGATAATTTATACCTATTTTATGTCCCCCTCCCACCTGCACTGTATTATTGTTTGTTTTAATACGTTTTAATATGTTTTTTGTATCACATGATTGATGATGTCACTAATTGTAATGATGTAATCAATTGTATCTGCTATTTAAACAGGATAGGCCTCTAATGCTGTAACACTTTGATAAAGCCTCTTTGCAGGAGAAACGCGTTTGTGTTTCTAAAGCTGTTTTATGTAACATTTTTTTGTCTCCAATAAAGATAGCCCATTTATGCTATTGGAGCCTCCAAGCCTATCCTTTTATTCCATTTTATTCTATTTTTATTTTTTTTATATATATAATTCCTTTCAACTCTCTCCAACACCCCCACTGGAGGACTCAAGGAGTGATATCCTTGGTGGGGATCATACCACCTACGCCTACATATATTGAGCAATATCCCATTTGCTCTTCACTTGTGAGTATACCTCCATCTTTTATCATTTTATTCTGTATCATTCAGAGAGTACTATTTTGTGTTTCTATCCTCTTTTTTATATATCACCAACTATTTGAATACTGGCCCACTGCTATTGGAAAGTAGATATACCTTACTACCTCTGGAAACCTCCTTTTAAAGACATCCAAGGACTATCTACATATCCATAGACGGGGATTATACTGTCCAGGCGCACATATCTGGAGTTGAGTATAAGCTCCAGAAAATTGTAAGTGCAATTCCTTTCCCTTCATTTACTATCACTTAAGATCATAACATACTACTCTATATCTGTGTCTTTTTCCTTCCCTCCTCCATATCGCTCTGATTGTGGGAATTCCATCACAGGCGCTGCTCCTGATCCTACTATTTACACCCATCGGACCACCAGAAAAGAAGAGACTCTGGTTTTTGGGAAGTTTCAGCAGCCACATAACAATAATTACAAGTATTGATATTGCCACCTATCCCCCTCTCTCTCTCTCTCTCTCTCTCTCTCTCTCTCTCTCTCTCTCTCTCTCTTTTTCATGCTTTTTGTGAGACTATATTACATTCTAAGGTATTGAGTATATTTGGGTATACATTACACCATACCATTGTTTTGCACGTGTATTGCGCCAGGACACTTTTTGATATTATTTTCTGGATTTAAGGAGGTAATCCTGTTTGTTTGGCTGCACTTTATTTCAGCACTTGATATTCACTATTGCACTTATCCAAACACTTGTTTAGTATTTTAAAGGAAAACTCTAATGTTATATAAATAAATCTGTAACATTATACTTCTATGTGTTTCTAATGTTAGAGGTTTATTAGTGCCTTCAAATTTATAATGCTGGATCATACCTTGATGCTGTATTAAGTTTAGCACTTAGTGTGCCCCTTTAAATACAATTTTAAACTTTATATATCATTTCAATCATGCATTTTTCAAAAATTCAAAATTACTAACATTTAGAGCTTTTTTACATTCCATTTGCCCATTATAAAGAACATATTGGGGCTTTGTAATAAAAATCATGTAAATGCATTCATAAAATATGCAGTTTGGTTTTGGTTATGTAGAGTCTTATGCTAAATTGTATTAAATCATAAGCAATATTGAAATACTAATAATTATTTCTACAGCAGTTTTGTCTTCTGTCAACTTATCTACTTCTCCAGTGGATCAAGTTATAGTACATATCTTCTCACAAATTGCTATTCAAGACATCAATGGTGACAGTCCTGAGCACTTAACTCAAGCCAAGTGAGTCTTTGCACACACTGCTTTTTCTGATATCCATTTAATAGATTGCTGTAGAGCTCTGTGCCCAGAAAACAAGGAATATACTTTGGCTTTCTCTAAATTCTTAGAACTCAATATGAATTACAGCGACATTTGTACTTACTATACTCTTCCTTAACATGGTCTACCACCGTGTGCAACTTACCTCATGCTCACTTCCTTGGCATTATCAATGTCTAAGCTAAAGGAATGGATGTTGGTGTTAAATTATTATATATTGGAAGGCTTGGCCTGAAGTTGTGGGAGGGGCGTATGGAGGTTTAAAAGGCACCCCCCCCTTTCCTAACTTACCAGGATTGGCCGACGATCTGCCACGATTTCCCTAGTATCCTGGTAACCGTGGTGGAAATAACCGGTCGGCTGCTCAAACTCCTCGCCCAGCATGCTGTCCCTACGTTCGCGGCTGCTGCAGGTAAATGGCGGCACCCCCCGGTGACGTCGCTTGGGCCGTCTCGTGGTCAGGCCAAACAGAAAGCTAGCACTCTTGAGAACACGGTTCTCCCGGCTGCACCGGCATTGATACCGTTATACAGTTTCCACATACTGGTAGGAAGGAGGGGGCTCAGTCACATGACCACCGTGGCCAGGTTGGGCAGTATAGAGCCTCTGAGCTCTAGGACCTAAGACAGGGTCCCTGGCTCCAGGGTCCTGAGGAACCCATGGAAGGGGGGCCAATAAGTTCACCTCGGTTCCCTTGTACAAGTCAGCCATTTCCTACCTTATGTCTTGTTCCCAAATAGAGCCATATATGATGCACCTCTATTTGGGAACAAGACATATATCTATGTGTCAAGGTATTGCCCCCATAGGTGCACACTGATCTATACTGGTAGTATCTACCTTCCTACTAGTCCTTTCTTGGATCATTGCTAGTAAACTCCATTAGATCCCCCTTTTTAACCACGAATATACTTTGCACGATTTTTTCTTCAACTTTAGTTTTTTTACACAATTTCTTTTTTATTTATTTTTTTAAAATTTTTTATTTTTGCAGTGCATACGGGATAACAAACATTGCATGGGGTACCCCAAAGGCAATCCTCATGCACATCATCCATTAGTTACAGTGGGGTTTACATTCGGCTTTGCACAATTTTGTTTTTAATTAGGCAATGAGGTCACAAAGTGTTTAGTAATGAGCTAGGCTATGTCATCGCATTCATAGTTTGCTAAAACATTAAATATATCGGCAGTAGTGATTTGTGTTATTAGTGAGTACAGGAACAAGGAACAAAAACTTTGCCTTTAAACTAATGGCAGTGGCGTACACATGACCCATGGGGCCCCGGTGCGAAAATTGATCCGTGGCCCCCCCCCCGCGCGGGCCGGGCCGCAACACATGGCGGTGGGCACCTGGTCGCAGGGGTTACAGGGCTGCGACCCCTGCGACCGCGGTATGTACGCCAGTGCATGCAGATGCACACACACTTAAAGGACCACTGCAGACACCCAGATCACATCAGCTCAATTAAGTTGTCTGGGTGTCAGGTCCCTCTAGTTTTTCAGAGAAACTGCTATGTTTCACTGAGGGTTAATCCAGCCTCTAGTGGCTGTCTCACTGACAGCCGCTAGAGGAGCACACTGAATGTCCATAGGAAAGCATTGAGTAATGCTTTCCTATGGGCGGTTTGAATGCGTGCGCGGTCGCATTCGGAGCTGAGAGGCTGAGGGATCCCCAGCGCCAAGGGAGTCCGGCGCTGGAGAAAGGTAAGTGCTGAAGACACACACACTCTCACTTACAGACGCTTACACACTAGCTAACAGACACACACATTTACTGACAGAGACACAGTCAGCGACAGACATACATACACACTCACTTACAAAACATACACTCTCATTGACAAACACAAACTCACTAACAGACATCAAACAGACTCACTAACACACACACACACACTCAGTAAGACACACACAGTAACACACTCACTGACACTCACTAGCAGACACACACTAACACTCACTCTAACACTCACACTCACTCTAATACACACACACTAACTAGCAGACACACACTCTCACACTAACACTCACTCAAACACACACACACTAACACTCTAACACACTAACACTCTCACACTAACACTCACACTCACTCATGTATTTTTTTTTAATTTTTTTTTATTTTAATCCCCCCAGCCTCCTTACCTTTTGGAGTGCTGGGGGGATTCCCTGGGGTCCAGTGGCCCTGCTGACACCCGGAAGGCGGGTGGCCCTCCGGCAGGCGGGCGCGCAAGGGAGCACTCAGTGCTTCCTCTTCAGCTCCCTTGCGCGCCGCGTAGGGATGCCGGCGCTGGAAGATGACGTCATCTTCCGGCGCCGGTATCAGTGCGGTGCACGAGGGAGCTGAAGAGGAAGCACTGAGTGCTCCCTCGCGCGCCCGCCTGCCGGACCGGCCACCCGCCTTCCGGGTGTCAGCAGGGCCAGCCTCGGGGGGCCATGGGGTGTTCGGCTCCTGGGCCCCCCAGGGGAAGAGGCTAGCCCTGTGGGTACATACCGGGTCGCAGGGGCGGCCGGGCCCCCTGGTGGGCCGGGCCCGGTCGCAGCCGCGACCCCTGCGACCCTGGTATGTACACCACTGACTAATGGCATGTTTGATAACATGGATTAAACGTAATAGATGCGCCAAAGATTCACATTTAAGTTTCTTAGTTAGATATAACAGGTTTGGTCTAGGCTTGGTACATGTGGACAAAACTTTTATAGCTGAGCTATACATGCTTAGTTAAGTAGTTACTATACAATCACATGATTAGTAAGTTACAGGCTATGTTAAACAACGTTAGGTGTAAATTTCTCCACCCTGCTTTAATTTAACCACCAGGGGCAGCGAGTCACTGAGCTTGCCGGATAATGCATATTTTCAGGCTTAGACAGTTGTAAATGATTTCCCTGCAGTGATAAATTCAACTGTATTAAAAGCATAAATGATATTAAAAAGACAATGCTAAACTTAAGTATATACAGTGCTCTGCAGGATTTCCATTCTACATGGCTAGTAGCCGCTTAGTTATTTCTGCAGCTGCGCTGGGTTGGCTGGCGTCTTGCCCATCTCCAGGTCGCTTGTGTTTCCCGCTGGTTGCTAGAGTGCTTCGGTACTTGCTGGCCGTGGGAGTGTTCACTATTATGCTTCTGCCAGCGTCAGCCTTGGGTACAAGATGGAGCCTGTGTGCTGTGAACGCTGCTCCTCTCTGTGTGAGCAGCGTGAGAGTCCAGGTAAAGTCCCCCTTGGTCCGTCTGTAACACAGGGAGTTCTCCGGCTTGTAATGGGCGCGGCGGCCATTTTGAATTGTGCCATGCGGTCCTTGTTTAATGAATAGTAAAAGATAGTAAAAGTGGTCCGGGATAACCCTCAGTAGGCATGTGAGATGTCCCGCCGGACTAAGCACGGGAGATCGGCCGTTTCTCCCGCCAGAGCCTCACGACAGGCCTCAATCCCAGCCGCCCCGCAGTCAGCTCCGCCGGTAGGACGGGGGCTGATATTGACACCGTGGGTGATTTCTTGTGTCCTCTTCACCTGAATGTGGCCACTAATCGCCAATCTCGGGAAAAAAAGGTAATCTTTGCCTGTTTGTGCTAGTTTCATAGAGGAGCCGAGGTGCCCCACGTCCATTCTGCTTGGCGGTCAGGCTCCGCCCCTCACAATTTATTTTAATGTCGTATGACGTAATAAAGGCTAAGTTCACTTGATTTTTCTCTTAGTTATCTGCCCAATTTTTGAGCTGTATATTGTATTTGGGTAAGACCTGCGTCTGTGCGGTGGTTTTGGGCACCAAGAGTAAGTCTGGGGTCTTCTTTCATATCGCAGAGCAACTCAGTATTTGTCTCTCTTTCTTCTCTTTTTGAACTACATATGGGGTTACTTACCCATATAGTCCACCCTTTGACTACTGAGCCAACATTTGATTGACCCTTTAGTCTTTCTCTTTCTTCTTTTCTAAAATTAGAATATGTGTAAAGGAGTCATTATCAGACTGGAGCAATTTAAATGGAGTCCAAGAGAAATGGGATAATTTAAAAGTTGCACTGCTGAAGGCAACAGAAAATTGCATTAGGCAGAAAGAGGCTAATCAAGTTATAAGAGCTTCCAAATCACACACAGAAAAGAAAATAGCACAGTCATTAAAAAAAAGGGGATAAAACATTTTTTAGATACATAAATGAGAAAAGGAAAGTAAAACAAGCATTAGTTAGATTAAAAACAAAAGAAGGAAGGTATGTAGAAATGGATAAAGGTCTAGCTGACTGCCTCAATGAATATTTTTGGAAAGGCACCTCAGCTAGGAAAAAGGACAAATTAGTCATTTATTACATGTGAGTTTACAGAGGAAGAGGTTCTATTTCAACTGTCAAAAGCAAAGACAAATAAGTCAATGGGACCTGATGGAATACACCCAAAGTTATTAAAAGAGCTTAGTTGTGTACTAGCAAAACCATTAACAGATTTATTTAACCAATCATTGTTAACAGGAGTAGCCCCAGAAGATTGGAAAGATAGTACGGAGGAGTCGGGCAACTATAGGCCAGTAAGCCTTACTTCAGTAGTGGGGAAAATAATGGAAACCATGTTTAAGGATAGGATTGTTGAACATCTAAAAACACATGGATTTCCAGATCAGAGACAACATGGGTTTACTTCAGGGAGATCATGCCAAAATAATATTATTGATTCTTTTGATTGGGTAACTAAAATAATAGACCAGGTTGGTCCAGTAGACATTGCTTACATAGATTTCAGTAAGGCTTTTGACACTGTTGCACATAGAAGGCTCATCAATAAATTGCAATCTTTAAGTTTGGATTCCAATGTTGTCGAATGGGTAAGGCAGTGGCTCAGTGACAGGCAACAGAGGGTTGTAGTCAATGGAGTATATTTGAAGTTTGGGCATATAGCCCCAGCCCGTGAGGCCATCACCCATCCTCTACGCTAGAGATATACGCCCCACGGGCCAAATCATAGCTAGCCGCCTTGCTTTTTGCATAAAAAGGGCATCACTTGTCACGCCCTTCCTATCTTATGCTTTATGGTCACGAGAGGCCGAAACCCCACCACGGCGTTAGGTGGCAACATACCCCTCGAGCCAATACTTAGAGCCTCTCAAGCTGCTTGGCATTTAGTGAGGGCTCACCTGTCACCACTTAGTGAATCGTTTTGCCACGTGGCACTAGCTAGCATGCCCGTAAGGTCCCCGGTTCTAAGCAGTATTATTGCTGTTTTCAGTATGTCTCAGGTGCCAGATGAAGGTGACGATATGTCAGTCCCCAGCACTCCAACTAGGTCCGCTACTCCTATATGCAAGGGCAACACTGGTAGCCCAGCATCCATCAGGTCATGGACTATCCCCCGCATCACGGCCAAGCTACACAAGTGCAGCATACCTTTCCCAGCTACGGCCAGGAAAGCAGAGCTATTCAGACTCAAAAGTACCAACATGGACAATATGGACAGAGGGGAGGGCACTTACAGCGCTAACAACTCCAACCTCCACACAATGATCGCCTCACTGGTATCATCCATGGAGCAAATCAACGATAGGCTAGAGAGACTTCCCATCAAAGCTGCAGGTTCCATCATGGAATTACTTTCAAACACGGCCCAGTTACAACCGGGTAATAGTGTGCCTGCAGCTTCCCGATCACATGTTATCAATCCAGTCCATATGTTACCGGTGAATCTTAAGAAGGACATCCTAGAAGGCAAAGACGACAATCTTGTTTCCCTTCTGATTGACTCCCAGGATGTCGAGAATCGCACTTATGCATATGGGGATATCTCGGTAGTTCTCAAATCAAGTGACACTAGACTCAGCAAGAAACTGTTGATCCCAGATTTTGTTATTGTGTTTAGTATCTATAGGGATGTTTTGTGTTCGGTTCACCCACATAGAAGGGAAGAGCTGTTCCTCTATATGCACAAGCTGGGGGACCTGAGCAACAAATACGGTGGTACATCCTTTTATGATTACCATCAGTCATTCTCAGCGAAGGCGTCTACAGCTCTGGCTCAGTACAACGTCAGTACGGATTGTTGCCAACTAGACACATAGCTTTTTTGAAGACACTTCGCTGGGCTGAGGACCCCAGCTTGTGCAATTTGTGCTGCCTCCGCATATTAAGCGAATTTCTGTCCCGTATCACCTGATGTCACCCCCAGTACGGCAACCCCAAGCACCTCAAGGGTGGATAAACAGGGCAAAGATAAACTAGGCCGTCCAATTGTATACCTTGGGAAGTCACAAATCTGTAATAACCTTAATGAAGGGTCATGTGGTTATAGTGCCTGCCGCCTGTTGTATGTGTGCTCTCACTGTTTCAGAGCACACGCAAAAACAATATGCCCTAATAAAATGCATTATAAACATTACTTGACCACGGTTAATGTTGGTATGCTAGCTAGCATGTGGTACTTGATTACTGTTTTTTTCCCAGGGTTTCCACACAGGCCTTATACACATGCCATCGGGATAGTGGAGTGTAACAATCTTCAGTCAGCCTTGGCAGATACTGAGGCAGTAGAGGTACTATTACAACTAGAGGTTGGGCAAGGGTTCTTACTAGGGCCTTTCACAGAACCTATTTTCTCAACTGGAGAACTAATCCCATTGGCCTTGTCTCCGGGAAAAACATGGGCAAGCAGAGACTGATCATAGATCTCTGAGCACCACACTCCTCAGGTATCCCTAGCCTAAACTCATTGATCCCATCAGAACAATTCTCTCTACAGTACACTACAATTGACAATGCTATTAACGCTATTATTCTTGACTGCAGGCAGGGGGGCCTGGCTCTGCAAAACCGACATTGTCAACGCCTTTAAGTTATTGCCCATTCACCTGTAATTATGGCAGCTGCATTAAATGAAAAGGCTTGTATTATTTTTTTACTAGGCTTAGCTTTGGGTCCAAGAGTAGCCCTAAAATTTTTGATACTTTCGTGGGCACATTGTGTTGGCTTCTCCTGAACACGTGCTGGTGCCATAACGTCATACACTATCTAGACGATTTTTTATTAATTGAAAACAATTTCTCCCCCTCGAGCAGCTGTGGGAAAGTAGCCAGATTATTCAATACACTGGGGGTACGACTCTCACCAAATAAAACTGTGGGTCCTGACACCTTTACTAATTTCTTAGGAATACGCCTGGATTTGGTGGCAATGGAAGCTAGCCTTCCACAGGAGAAAGTTACTAGCATCTGCCACGACATTAACCATTACATGCTTACCGGCTCCTGCAACCAGAAAGAATTACAGTCACTATTAGGCTCCCTGAACTTTGCTATGATGTTTCATACTGCAGGGTAGAACCTTCATCTCCAGACTCCTTGGCCTACTACCCACATTCCCCGACGACCTAAGCCGTATCTCCCTTGACGCCCAAGCCACGGCGGACCTCCGAATGTGGTACACTTACCTCTCTAACTGGAACGGAAGAAGCATGTTTCTCCTGCAGGTTTCCATACACTCCCTGGTCATATGGACCAGCCATCTTTGGCAATGAATGACTCTGGGGTAATTGGCCAGTGGAGGTACAAGGGATAGAAGGGTTTCACAAGAACTCAGCGCTTTTCGAAGTATACCCTATTGTGGTGGCAGTAGTGGCTTGGGGCCATTTGTCGTCAGGCAAGACAGTTCTATGCCATTCAGACAATCTGGCAATTTGCCACATTATTAACAAAGGCCGCTTGTCTTCATTGATGATTATGAGATTCATTAGGAAACTGACGTGGTTAGCAGCCTGCAATCAGTTTTACTTGGTGTGCTGCCATGTCCCAGGAGTTTTAAACACCGCAGCTGATCGCTTGTCTTGCTTTCAATTTCAGGCTTTCCAATAATCCCTACCCACTGCTTTACATCTGGCGACAGCAACCCCCCTTTTTCGGGAACTAATCATGGACTAGTTGAATTACTACAACATAGCCACACCTTAACAACACTGGCCCTCTCCTCTAACACGCGCACTTCATATGACAGGGCATTTTTCTTATACAGGAAATTCATGGCAGAACATCAATTGCATAACATGTTTGAGATAACACCCCTGGTGGCATTCACCACTTTTTGCCACCTCAAGTAAAAGTTATCACACAACACAATAAAATTATACCTGACAGGCATCCAGCATCACATGTACTCCACATTTCCCAACAACTCTAGCTTCCTCTTCTCATACCATATTAAGAACATACTTAAGGGCATATCCAAAGCTAATGGTAGTATACCACAACAAAGGCTACCCATCAACAAACAGTTGTTCAAAGCCATGTCTGATCTAATAGATTCAGCCCTGTTCAAACCTCTCACTAACTCAGTCATTAAGACTGCCATGTATCTGGCTTTTTACGGCTTCCTGAGGCCATGGGAATTCACCATCAGTGCACAAATTAACGCTCAAAGCTGCTTCCGGGTGTCCTACCTTAAAAAACACCTAGATCATTACATACTTACTCTACCTGTGACCAAAACGAGCCAACTAGGTCAACCTGTCCACATACCATATTACCTCACAAATAATAGCTCGTGCCCGGTGAAGGTCTTTGATTCCTACCTTCTCTCCATACCAAATCTCGCCTCCTTACCGGGGCTATCCTCACTACCAAATTCAAGTCATACTTATGCTTACTGTTAAAAAGGCTAGGTGTGAACCCTAGACATAATTCCGGACACACATTTAGGATAGGGGCCGCATCTACAGCATCAAGTCAGGACATTCCAGTCCATATCATTAAATCACCAGGTCGCTGGAAGTCATCAGCATACACTACATACATACCTCAACCAGTACTGGAAATACGAAAGGCCTTCAAGAAAATGTCTTCTTAATTGTACTTACATTGTATTATGTAGTTTCTCAATAAAGGTTTTGAGCATATCATGTTTCCTTTTTGCCCACTTTTTATTACTGGCCTACAGCATACGTCGGTTTCAGCACACCTCAACTGACTTGTTCCTATCTCAGGTTCTGTAAACACCAAGCTTACATTAATCATAACCGATGTAGCCCTGAACACAAATTGGAAGGCTTGGCCTAAAGTTGTGGGAGGGGCGTATGGACGTTTAAAAGGCACTCCCCTCCCCTTTCCTAGCTTACCAGGTTTGGCCGATGATCTGCTGCCCCACCCGCTACTCCCTCTATTCAACATAAATTACTAGTGTAGGCCCACTTTTTATTACTGGCCAACAGCATACGTCGGTTTTGGCACACCTCAACCGACTTGTTCCTATCTCAGATTCTGTAAACACCAAGTTTACGTTAATCATAACTGATGTAGCCCCGAACACAAATATATATATATATATATATATATATATATATATATATATATAGTTTTTTTTGACAATCTTTATTTGAATATTGTTTTTTCCACAAAGGAGGAGAACAGTGGAGGAAAAACTTGGAGCATTCAAAAGAAACTGCAGTAGACAATATATGAGGATCAAAAGAAACTTCAGTAGACATATAGACCTAGAGGAAGAATTTCAAATTCTTACAACCAGATTTGTGCAAAAACATTATAATTACAAACATCTGGTAACCATCTGTGATGAAGTTCGAAATGTGGACAGAGAACATTTAATATCTAAAAAACCTCTTAGGAACAAAGAAACAATTTCTACTGGAACAATAACCAAATTCCTTCCAACTTTTGTGACTATCTATAACTCAGCGGCAGCAGAAATTAAAAAAATTATGTGGAAACAGTGGCCAATTATAGCCCAGGACGATCTGATGAATATGGAAGATGGCAGAAAACCAAGAATTGTATTTAGGAAGAACCAGACTTTTAAGAATATGATTGCTCCAAGTATGAAACAGAAAAAGAAGAATAAGATTGGCATTCTACCATTACAAGGAATATATAGATGTGGAAGAAAGAACTGTATTACTTGCCCATTCATTAAAACAAAGGACAATACATACTCTTCATCTAAACATGATAACGAAGACAAAAAATATGAAATAGAAAGATTTATTAACTACAACACATCCTATGCTATTTATCTTTTAGAATGCCCATGTAGTAAACAATATATTGGCAGTACATGCAGAAAAACAAAAACAAGAATTGATGTAAGAGCCATAAAGAAAAAATGCATTAATCATGGAGTCCCTCTACATTTTCTAAAGACACACAATGGAAACCCATAAGGTTTAAGAGTGAAGGGTATAGAAAGTATCTGTCCCACAAACAGAGGTGGAGACTGTGGCGGGGCCACTGCCTAACTGTCAATTGCCCTTTTTCTATGTGTGGATGTGCCCTCCTAGAATGTGTGTTCCCCCCTTTTTAATTGTCCCCTTTCTGTAATTTTGACCGTAAATCCTGCAAAATACCTTTTGACCACCCGGGGGTGAAAACCGCAGATCGCAAGAGAACAAGCGGTGCATGCTTCCCCGGGTGGCCGCCAGTTTGTATCACCGAACGCGACCAGGGGGAGCTTCCGGCTCCCGAACCGGCCTGCACGCACTGTCTTCAATCCCTGTGTCAGGGATCATCCTACCTGCTCCTAACGGAGCTATAATCACTCGTCACCCTCAAACCTGGGAGCTACGAGGCTAGGCTCGTAGCTGCCCAAGCGAACGCTCTCTCCGGCGGATACCTGAGTGTGGGTATCCACTGGAGAGAGGGACGCCCACCTGTGGAGAATCTCTGTAGCTGTGAGTTGGTCTCGCAGCTGCAGGCCTCCATTGACCATGTGGAAGTCCGTGCTGACCAATGGGAGAACTGGGTTCGCGCCATTCTCCTGGTTGGTCGGCACGAGTAAGCGCTGAGTGGTTGCTGCGGGACCCGGGGCTATTCATCAGTACAGGTTTTAACCCTGTACCCCCTTCCCGTCCTGGGGCGCAGAGCCCCAAAGCTCACCCACCTGTATGTAATGTGTATTCATGTGTTTCCCTGTGTCCTGTTAGTATCTCCCAGAGCGGGAGATGGTTATCTGTCACCCAGCCCCCTCCTGCCTGGGATTGTGTTATGTTGGATGGAGACTGTGACAGACCTCTCTGTCCTTGGATTTCATATTTCTCCTTATTTGCTTGGATTTTATATTCTCCCTTATATATTCGTTAATTGGTTCGGTGAATTTCTCTTCTATTGCTACCAGGATAATGCTATTCAAATAACCGAACAAAATGCAGAACGACTGACCACCCTGCATGTGGAGTGTGCTGCTTGTTAACCACCCAGAAGCTGTGGTTAACCGCAGCTTAATTGACGAATGGCTGGGTGGTCGTCGTTCATATGAACAAACACGTGTCGGCGGCCATCTTAAACTGCAATGTTTTGTTGTTGAACGCATGGAACTATTTTCGGACACTATTCCACACGAACACCGCTGGGACTTCCAGACTTCCAGCAATTCGTCTCTTTTCATACGAAAGCAGCGGCGTTCGGTACATTTAACCCCTTAAGGACACAACTTCTGGAATAAAAGGGAATCATGACGGAATATTTCCATCATGTGTCCTTAAGGGGTTAAACACACGAACCAGGGACACACATAGACTATTGCCATTCACCAGTTCATTCGGTAATTTGAACAGTATTTGAACTATTGGATATAGACCGGCCGCACAGCCTAATTCTCTGGAACTGTTTTGGGCATAAAGCCATGCTTGCGGTCGGTCAGATATGACTTACAGGAATTTCCTGAACCCCTTCTTTGATCTGGGTGATTTTTGAATATGTTGTTCACCCAGAACAAGGCTATCAGGGGATATTACATTTATAGGGATATGTGGTGTTTTGGGGTCTTTTCTCTACCTTGTGAAAAATTAGTTTTTTCTGCTTGGGGATAATTGTTAATTAATGAGTTAATTACAGTATCTTACTCAATTATCTCACAAGCAGAGGGGAGGGTTTGTGTACATTATCTGGGAGTGTCTAACCGTACAATACTGTTTTGATTGGCTTTGTGACTTTGTGTCCTGTGCCCCACAAGGTCCACCTGGGGAAAACTGTATAGAAGACCAGTATGTGCCATTAACCCCTTAAGGACCAAACTTCTGGAATAAAAGGGAATCATGACATGTCACACATGTCATGTGTCTTTAAGGGGGACACTATAGGCACCAGAACAACAACAGCTTATTGCATTTGTTCTGGTGAGTAGAATCATTACCATCAGGCCTTTTGCTGTAAACAATGTCTTTTCAGAGAAAATGCAGTGTTTACATTACAGCCTAGTGATAACTTCACTGGCCACTCCTCAGATGTCTGTTAGAGAACCTTCCTGGGTCATGGCTGCCTAAAATGCATCCAAACATTCAGTATCTCTTCCCTCTGCATGCAGACACTGAACTTTCCTCATAGAGATTCATTGATTCAATTCATCTCTATGAGGAGATGCTGATTGGCCAGGGCTGTGTTTGAATCATGCTGGCTCTGCCCCTGAACTGCCTCCTTGTCAGTCTCAGCCAATCGGCAGAAGAGCAAGGCATTCACATGCTACTGCTCCCTGCCCATCGCCAGGGGAACTTCAACCAGTGAAAGCATGGCAACAGGACTTCCTGAGACAGAGACAAGGTACCTTACTGAATGAAATCGGCTGCTTTCAGTGCCCCCAGCTCACATCTGAGAATGTAAGGGATGAGGAAGTGCTGCTTGCTGTCTGTATATGCTTATGTATGTGTTTAGCCGTGTGTATGAATATGCATTAAGCAGTCTGTGTGTGTGTGAATTTGTGCATGCATTAGACAGTTATAACAAAAATTGTGTATACCCTTTAAAGTGGAAAAAATATACACCAATAGGTGAATAAAACGTATAGAATAATTTACCTATATGTATCTCCCACGATGTAGAAAATAAAGGACTCCTCCCAGTCCTCACAGAATATTCAAACAAAATAGATATCTACAGAAGGTGAGAATAAATCAACTCTTAGAGTAGTACATCAAAACCAATAAACATATATGGTTCAAGGTTGCACTCACACAAATTATTTGATTGTAGGCATGTCAAAATTATAGAGATGATATGAACTCTTCAGACTCCAAAAGAGAGCATGTGGGAAAAAAGAAATTATACAAAATAAGTGTAGATTTAAAGGACCATATAGTGCGCTAAGTTAAGTAACACTTACACACTAGAAGTGGTGTTCAGGCATATAATGGTCTCAGGAATTGTTGCTCCGTAAATGGAATAGTACTCCTTCGTAATGGTGTAAAAAATTTATTGGATATAACAAAGAAAATAAAAAACAATGAAAATAAAAACAATTATAAATCCCACAGGGGCCCAACCCTACGCGTTTCGTCCGGTGACCCGGACTTCCTCAGGGGTATCGTCTGTTAAGTTCTCAATATCTGGAGTCAGTCTGATGGCTCTCTTATAAGTTTTATTAATATTAACAATATGTCCCTTAAATTCACCCCTAATTTCGGAAAGAAAGAAATAGATTTTTTGGATCATACTCTGTACATAGAAGACTCCTCAATTAAACATGGTGAAAAAATTTTGAATGAAGAGATTAAAACAGTTGGTAGTAAAGAAAAGGAAGCTCTACTTCAAGACAATAGATATAAAAGAGGGAACTCAGATTTTGAATATGCCTTTAACACTAAATATAACTCTAAAGCTTTCGATATACAACGAATTCTTAGGAAACATTGGAAACTTCTTTTAGAGGATGATTTTTTAAAACTTAAGATTCCAGATTATCCGAAAACTAGTTTTAAAAAGGGGAACAAATTTAAGAATATTTTAGCACCCAGCACCTTTCGGAATAAGGATCGTATTAATAGACTTAATGCCGGTTTCTATACTTGTGGTAATTGCAAAGCGTGCGGTCACTCTTATAAGACATTCAAAGAGTTTAAAAGTTTTTAAAATAAATGGTTATTCGTCGTGTTCCTCCTCGCATGTTGTGTACCTGATAACTTGTGGTTGTGGTGCACAATATGTGGGGAGGACAGGTAGAAAAGCGAAGGTTAGATGCTTGGAACACTATAATAATGTACGTAAACGAATTACCACTCACTCAGTCCCCACACACTGTAATTCCTGTCCATCTTTTACAAATGATCTTAATTTTATAGTTATAGAACAGGTATCTTTAGATGAAAGAGGGGGAGACATTATGTTAAAACTAAGAAAAAGAGAAGGGTTCTGGATTCATAGATTAAAGACCTTGCACCCAACAGGTCTGAATGTAGAATTCGATTAAGTGTGTTTTTTAATATAGGTTTAATTCATTTTTATCTTTGTATATTGATATATTTGGGGTTTGTCACCTACTGCTTTGATTAGATTTCTTCACTTATGGATTCTATGACTTTTTTAATTTGATCTTGTCTTTTTTAAGATTATAGGAATTAAATTCCTTATAAAGAAGTTCTTAGGTAATAGTGTAAGTTTAACAATATTTTTCTTATCAATTTATAGGATAAAGTACTGTTACAATTCTGAAGCATTACATTTTATGTATTCTTTTTCACAGTATGTTAGTGCATGTCTAAAAAAAACGTTTGAAATGTATATATTTTTTGTTTTTATTCTTGTAACATTATTTTAATAACATTGTTTTTAAATTATGAGCGTCTATGAGATGATGTATGAACTGAACAGATCCAATGCGAGCAATGACCTGCAAGTGCTGTATAAGTCCTCTCACAGATGGAACGCACACGTTCACGTCCACACGTACAGAAGAACGCATGACATCATCTAATCCTGGAGTAATGTGTTACAGCCGCGATTCACAGCATCGGATTGGTTTGCTGTCATAAAGAGGAGCGGCTAGTGGGATTTAAAAATGAGCGGACACCAGAGAGCCATCAGACTGACTCCAGGTATTGAGGACTTAACAGACGATACCCCTGAGGAAGTCCGGGTCACCGGACGAAACGTGTAGGGTTGGGCCCCTGTGGGATTTATAATTGTTTTTATTTTCATTGTTTTTTATTTTCTTTGTTATATCCAATAAATTTTTTACACCATTACGAAGGAGTACTATTCCATTTACGGAGCAACAATTCCTGAGACCATTATATGCCTGAACACCACTTCTAGTGTGTAAGTGTTACTTAACTTAGCGCACTATATGGTCCTTTAAATCTACACTTATTATTGTATAATTTCTTGTTTCCCACATGCCCTCTTTTGGAGTCTGAAGAGTTCATATCATCTCTATAATTTTGACATACCTACAATCAACTAATTTGTGTGAGTGCAACCTTGAACCATATATGTTTGTTGGTTTTGATGTACTACTCTATGAGTTGTTTTATTCTCCCCTTCTATAGATATCTATTTTGTTTGTATGCATTAGACATTGTCTGTGTGTTTTTATGTATGTATTAGGCAGTGTGTTTTTCTAAAAATAATAATACCCTGTATCCCTTTTTATCCCCTCCCTCCCCTCCACAGCTCAGAGCATGCACATGTGGTCTGAGCTGGTGAGAACGTTAAAACTTACCTTTTTCCAGCGCTGGGCAGGGAGCTCTCCTCCTCCGATCCTCCTCTTCTCCTCCCCGTCGGCTGAATGCGCACGCACGGCAAGAGCTGCGCGCGCATTCAGCCGGTCACATAGGAAAGCATTCATAATGTTTTCCTATGGACGCTGGCGTGCTCTCACTGTGAAAATCACAGTGAGAAGTACGCAAGCGCCTCTAGTGGCTGTCAATGAGACAGCCACTAGAGGCTTTGGGGGAAGGCTTAACCCATTCATAAACATAGCAGTTTCTCTGAAACTGCTATGTTTATGAAAAAATGGGTTAACCCTAGCTGGACCTGGCACCCAGACCACTTCATTAAGCTGAAATGGTCTGGGTGCCTAGAGTGGTCCTTTAAATACTTCTCTATGAGGAGCATTTGGTTGGACCTTGCGAGAGAGGCACTGACTGAAACCAGGTAAGTTTATGCTTTATTTGAAAACTTTATAAGAAGGGCAGGACCTCATTACTAATCCCCACTACGGTAGGTCATTCTAGATTCAATAAAACAGTTCTTTGAATAGGTTCTTTGGAGTAACTTATTCAAAGCACTTTTTTCACATCATGTATATGCTTTAGCTGCTGAATACTACATTAATAATGTCAATCCTCAGATTGATCCTTAAAGGGACACTATAGTCACCTGAACAACTTTAGCTTAATGAAACAGTTTTGGTGTATAGAACATGCCCCTGCAGCCTCACTGCTCAATCCTCTGCCATTTAGCAGTTAAATCTCTTTGTTTATGATCCCTAGTCACACCTCCCTGCATGTGACTTGCACAGCCTTCCATAAACACTTCCTGTAAAGAGAGCCCTATTTAGGCTTTCTTTATTGCAAGTTCTGTTTAATTGAGATTTTCTTATCCCCTGCTATGTTAATAGCTTGCTAGACCCTGCAAGAGCCTCCTGTATGTGATTAAAGTTCAATTTAGAGATTGAGATACAATTATTTAAGGTCAATTACATCTGTTTGAAAGTGAAACCAGTTTTTTTTCATGCAGGCTCTGTCAATCATAGCCAGGCAGGTGTGGCTAGGGCTGCATAAACAGAAACAAAGTGATTTAACTCCTAAATGACAGTGAATTGAGCAGTGAAATTGCAGGGGAATGATCTATACACTAAAACTGCTTTATTTAGCTAAAGTAATTTAGGTGACTATAGTGTTCCTTTAAGGTTTTTTTTGTGGTTTACAACTTGCTGCTCTATCTATTGACTCTTATCTTACACTCGGTAGTTGAAAATATTGATATATAATTACCCTGCAAGAGATGGCCTATTTGCATATTGGTTTGATGAATGTATTGTGGGGATATTACCATTTTAATTGTACCGTGAATCTAATGTTTATTTCTTAGGCTGTTTACATTTAATCCCAAATAAGTTTAACTGCATCTACAGTAAATCTCATATGCTGCTTTAAAAAAAAAAAAAAAAAAGATTTCCAGCCCCTTCCATTTAAGAAATTATCCCTAGATTATCCCCACTGGCATGTCAAATTAAATCCCCCCAGCATCATATATTATTTATAAATTTTATCAATATAATTGTTACGCATTATTTAAGATTTGCTCTAAAGATTTACCTTTATTTTTGTCGTGGTCATTTTTGTATAGTTTTTGCAAATCAACAATGCCTGTTTTTTTTCTACTCTCCACATTCTAAGTTATTTTTTGTTGGTTACTGTACTGCAGCAAAAGGTGTCACATAATCTCTTTTTGTTACAATATATTCATAGGAACCGCGTTCAATCCACAGAAAGCCAAGGGTGCTAAACTGGGCCAGGACAATCCCATCAATTGTAGATACCAGAAATAGAAAAGAGGTCCAGTCACTACAACGGGTTAAGGCAAATTTATTAGAACAAAAGGTACACTGCAACGTTTCAACCCATATATGAAAAATTGACAAAGACCCATTTGTGGGTCAAAACTACTGTTCTAATACATTTGGAGTGCCTTGACTTCTCTTCTATTTCTGATAATTTTGTGACACACGATTTTCACACAGAGTGTCAGGAGGACTGGTTAAATATGCTTATATTGGACTTGGAGTAAAAAAAGGGAATTTCAGACCATAAAGCAAAACCTGGCTTAATGGGTCCCCCAACCACCATACATCAGGTCCATTAAGGAAGCAAACGTGAAAAATGTCACTATAACAGAGCAAAAGCATCTCACACTAAGCAGTACAAAACCGCAAAAACTTGATCCATTAAAACTACATATTAGTTTTTCAACAGAGGTCAGCGTGGGCAGCCTATCAACCTGCCATACATGCATGTCAGAATGGCATGTGACCTTTATAGCCAGGCACATTATCCATAATGCTAATTACATAACGGACAAGTCCATTTGCTGGTTCCGCCCCAACCCACCTCTCCCACTCCTGATTTCAGACCTTACAAAGTTGGAATGCACTTCTCCCTCACCGCCTGCAGAGAGCTAAAGTTATAACATATTTAGTGCAATGTTAAGTTACAGATAGTTAGGCTGGTAGCATTTAATAAAAAATTATAATAATGACTTTTGCTCCATAGATCCACTGTTTCTGTCCCTCTTTCTAACTTGCAGTGTTTGCTCCAATAAGGAAGTTGTACATGTCATCAGGATGTAAAGCATAGATTTATGAGGCTTTTCGTTCAGTAAACAAGTTTAATTATTGGACATTGCCTGGAAACCTCTGCTATTCCCATAAATCCCTAAACTGCACAAAACTGATTAGATAATGTTAGCATTTGCAGAATACATATGATTGGCTGATCAATTCCAATCTATGTTCAGAATATTCCTTAAATGGAAATATCACTTTTGTAAAAAATATGAATTGAGAATAATTACTTGTAACTTGCTTTAACCTTTTTCCATATGCTGCTCCTTTTGTATTGGAGGAGGAAAAACAAATAATGATGGATATTTAACAATGTGTTCTGACAAGTGACGGCTATATTACTTCATTATTTTGATCAAATATGAAAGTGTCTTAAAAGTGATGGTTTTACCAATGTGGCTTTGAATGGTTTACGTTAACATGTTTACCAATGACCTTCATCTTGAGACCTGTGTGTATCAATTGATGCCATTTTCCACTGCTATGTTTAATTGGAAGTCGAATTAAAAAAAAAAGATATTTAAAAAAAAAAAGTTTTCCCCAGTTATTCCTGAATACCGCCAAATTTACAGTGACGTTAAAAAAGAGAGGTTAAACAGGGAATTTTGTCAGTCAAACCAAGTGCTGGAGAAATGAATAAATCCATCTCATCACATAAAAAAGCTATATAATAAAAAATGATGGTTAGTGCCCTCAAAAAAAAATTAAATAAAAGGGTATAAAAATCCAACAGATTTAATACATTGTACTAAAAAATTAGACACAAAATAGTTGGCAGCACTTTGATAAGTTTGTTCCTATTTAACACCTCCACATACTATGTTAAATGACAGAACAGGAAAGAGTTTAAAACAATTAGTGACCAGGTACAAAGATGGATGACTATGCAGGACAGAGCTGGAAGTTTGGATTGATAATTTTTTTATTATAGGGGAGACATAAACATAATATTAAAAATCAAGGGAAGCAGAGACAGATTGACAGCTTTTTTGGCCCTTTCAAGTTCAATGTTTATGTATTAAGTAAATATTAAATATAACTTTCTGAATGCATGTTTGCATTTGAGCACATAATGCTAATATGAATGTCTCCAGGGATATATTTGAGTGTAGTGAAACTGTATCTGAATAGAAGGATGCATTCTGTCTACTGCAAGAATGTTAATGCAGTCTTGTATATGTTTGTAATTTTAGATTTTCACTGTATGTGTTAGTGTAGGGAAGTATGTGTGTTATGTTGATATGTCTGAAATCCAAAGTATATTTCATGTAGTGCTAGTAAGTATAAAATGCATGTGTTTATTTGTAAGTAGTATAAATGGTGTGAATGCAGTGCTCGATTAGAATGTAGAGCAGATGTGTGTGAATGCTACATTCTATTTTTAGGGAATTATGCAAATGCAGTGCTGCATTTGTATTGAATTTTGATGTGTGAATGCACAAGTATTTTTGTATGAAGTGTCATTGTGTGACTAGGAGTGTATTTGTGTAGTGTTTGTGTCTATATGAATTAAGGAATGTGTACATAAATGTATTTGTGTAGAATAAGCTGTGTGTATAAATAAAGGAAACTGTTGGTGTGTGAATGCCAGTGTGTATTAGTGTGGAGAGTCTGTGTATGGATGCAGGGATAAAGTGTTTGTGTGTGAATTTCAGCAGTCAGTATTAGTGTGTGCAAAAAAAGATGCAATGTATCACCGATATTATTATTTTATTATCTATATAGCGCCAGCAAATTCCCTAGCGCTGTACAATGGCTGGACTAACAGACACTTAATTGTAACCAGACAAGCTGGACACACAGGAACAGAGGGGTTGAGGGCCCTGCTCAATGAGCTTACATGCTAGAGGGAGTTTGGTATAGTGACAGGAGTGTAGACTGATTTTGACACTGCCCAGCACGAACGAGGATGTTAGTACTGGCTAAAAATGAAGTGGATCATTTTAGTGGCAGAACTTGCAGAACAAGTAGAATTTTAGGGATTTAGGAATTATTATTTTTTTAAAACAATACATGCATATTTTTAGTTTTACTACCCTGCTAACATGAATTAACAATATGCAGTACTTTACCCTTTATATTGTCATGCCTTTAAACTTTAAACAACCAATCTATTTCAAATCAATTATGTAAATACTTATACCATCCAGCAAGTGCTTTGTGATCAAATTTAGCCAGTGTATTATGTCTCTATTTGGTATTAATGAACCCTGGGGTTTGTTTTATTTTTGCTCTTTATTTCTATTTGTAGAAGGGAGGGGTTTGGCTGTTAAAAGCTCAGGCTAATTACAGACAGTAGGGGTAATGAAATAGGTTGCTAGAAAAGTATTTACTGAGAACTTAGTAGGTTATTTTTGACAATTGCAGGAGAGGAGTCATGGGGGGGGATTGAAAACCCGCTAACAGTTCAAATGATATGCTTTCCTGAAGAAGTGTGTTTTCAAGGAATTTTTGAAGGAGTGTAGACTGGGTGAAAGTGTAACGGAGAAGGGAAGGGAGTTCCACAAAAAAGGTGCAGCCCAGGAGAAGTCTTCAAGGCGAGCATCAGATGTGGGATTACGGACAGAGGACAGACGTAGGTCTTCGGCAGAACACAGGGGCCTCGACAGGACATACTTGTGTATTAGGGAGAATATGTAGGTTGGAGCAGCATTATGTAGGCACCATGTGTGTGACTGCAGGGGTGTGTTTGCATGCCATTTTGTATATTGAATGTGATTTTCTTTTCCATTATATGTCTGTCTCTTGATCTTCCCTAGTGCGTATTCTGTCTCCCCTCATTCCTTACTGGTCTTCCCATCACCCTCTTGTGACTCTCCATCTCACTCACTCCAGTTTCCCAAATTCTTCCCTGTTGTACCTTGGCCCAATTACACACCTGTCCTTCTTCTAACTTCTACATGTGTCTCTGATTCATCTCATTCCAATGTGTCACCACATGTGTTTCTTCCTCAGTGCACCCCAATTGTTACTTTGCTACTATTCCAATTGTCTTTCTCCTACCCCACTATAAGTCTGTTCCTCCTCTCTCCTTAGTGCAGGCTTCCCCAAACTCCGGCCCAACAACTATCATGATTCTCAGCCTATCTATTTTATTCATAGAATCATGGGAGATGTAGTTCAGCAACATCTGGAGGGCCTGAGTTTGGGGAAGCTGGCCTTGAGACTGCACTCAATTTTAAAGCAAAATAGAAAAAATGGTAGTTTATTTACACAATATAGAAGTATAAGTAAGAGGGCTAATCTCTCCTAAATAGAAGTAAACATATCTCAATTCACATAACTAGTCCCCCATATATAAAGTGCAAAACATTACTTAAAGTGCTTAGTGCCAAATCACCATAAATGTATAACTCAATATACTAACGTACAAACCAATATATATACACAATACGGCCTGCCTGCAATTCATATGCACAAAGAAAATAACTGGAAAAAATGTGGAGGGCACACAGCTGTCAGTAATCTGTGCAGCAGAGTTCCTAAAGTATACTCTAAATGTCAATGACATATACAATACCGCCTGCCTGCAATTCCTATGCACAAAGCAAATAATTGGAAAAAGCTATTCTTCCTCTACACCCCAAAAATATTTCTGCTTCATCTGATCCTCAATATGTAGTTACCTCACCCAAAATGTATGTCTGCCCTATCACACCACGTTTCTACCCATAATCCAACATGTCTATTCCCCATCTCACCCCCACTTTTTGCCGCAACCTACATTTTGCCATACACCCGCAACTATCACCAGAGTAAAACATGTTAAATGATGCCAGGACAGATGGAGATGTCCTCTGATCTCTCGAGATAGGCCATGCCTCTGCCTAAGTGGTCAGTATGCCTTTGTAGGGAAGTGACAGTCCCCATTTAAAAAAACTTAAAATTCTTTACTCACAGGTCTGAAATTTCTTTGCTGAGTAGCTGCGTCTAAAACGTATTTACCTTAAAAGTATTTAAACTCTTTTTGACTATTTTGAGTAGTGGTGAAGCGCTTCCTCTCTTTCTAATAAAGAAAAAAATCTACTTTATTTAAAGGGTACGTCTAATCACTTCCACGTAATGAAATGTTACAAGATCATAACCATGCATTCTCACTGCTCAATGCTGTTTAGGAGTTAAATTACTGAAGCCCTAGACACCAGGGTTAAGCCAAGGTTCACTGGCCAATTCAGTGCCCTGTATGGATATAGCTAAATTGCCCTTCCTTTTCTTATCTGATTTCCTTCTCATAGTAGATGTAGGTTACTAGGTGGGTAGGGTATGTTGATGAGATAAAGGTAAATGATATATGACAGTGCGGGTAAGTGTGGCTGTGGGAAGGCATGCGACTGGATGGCTAAATATGACTGTTGGTAAAAATATGTGCAACTGAGTGGGTCCTGTGAGTGTGACTGAGATGGTGACTACTTGTGACTCTGTGTGTGGTTGGGTGATGGTATGTAGCAGGTTGGCAGTATAATAACATGCTGCATGACAGGTTTATGTGACACCACCGAGGCTGTAACTCACACATGTTCCCTTGATACTTCATGAAAAAAATGTGTTTATTTTGAACCTGGATCTTATGTCCAGGCAGTAGCAGAATGTGCTTACTTTAGAAGTTCTTATTTTAATAGACTTTTGGAAGCTATTCCAGCACAATGTTAGTATTTTAGTCATATCATTTGTAAGAGTACAGCATTTAATTATTTAATATTATATAACTTTTTATTTACAAATATCTATTTTGATGTGTGAGTTTTCTAACGCCGAAAATGTGCTTTCCCCCCCATAATGTTTCTCTATATGAAGCATTTGATTTTGACACTGCCCAGCACGAACGAGGATGTTAGTGCTGGCTAAAAATGAAGTGGATCATTTTAGTGGCAGAACTTGCAGAACAAGTAGAATTTTAGGGATTTAGGAATTATTATTTTTTTAAAACAATACATGCATATTTTTAGTTTTACTACCCTGCTAACATGAATTAACAATATGCAGTACTTTACCCTTTATATTGTCATGCCTTTAAACTTTAAACAACCAATCTATTTCAAATCAATTATGTAAATACTTATACCATCCAGGAAGTGCTTTGTGATCGAATTTAGCCAGTGTATTATGTCTCTATTTGGTATTAATGAACCCTGGGGTTTGTTTTATTTTTGCTCTTTATTTCTATTTGTAGAAGGGAGGGGTTTGGCCGTTAAAAGCTCAGGCTAATTACAGACAGTAATTGTGTCAATTAGCTTTCCCTTTGGTGTTGGTTCTGCCACACACTAGAACCTTCATTGACAGAGGTAGTTAATTGGCTGATGTACAGCAAGTGCATGTTTTACTGTCACCTGCTAACCATTTATGCTTGTGTAGCAAGTAATCGTGGAAGAAGGGGTTGATTACTAGTGTTCCATTGGGAGGACAACACACTTGCCAGTTCCCTCAGTGCTCCAAGGTTGAATGGCGCACAGGGCCGGTGCAAGGATTTTTGGGTACATAGGCAAATATGTATCTTTCCACCCCCCCAACCCCCCAAAATAACATCTTCACCTATGTGCCTCTTAACCAGCCCCTCTCCCCGTCCATTAGTGGTCCCCTCCCTTCCATGTCCCTTAGTGTTCTTCTAAGCTCTCCCCTCTTTTTCCTGTCCCTTGGTGTTTCTCTCCCCTCCCCTTGGTGCACCCCCCACCCCCTTAGTGGTCGCACTCCCCTTCCTGGTGTGCCTCCTCTTGTAGCGTTGCCGAGTGGAGGATATCCTCTACAGGAGCTTCAATTTTCTGTACCTGGTCGGACTGACAGGGAGTGCTCTCTCAGTGAGCACCTCCGGTCAGTGTGGCCGGGTACAGGAAACAGAAGCTCCTGTACTGCGCTCCGCCACGCTACACTCAGTGGTGTATACACACTGACAGTCACACACACTCACTGACAAACACACAGACTCAATGACAAAGATACTCTCACTCATTTGACAGACACTCACAAACACACACTGACAGACACACATACACTGCCACACTCATACACTCACATGTAACACTCATACAAGCACTCACAGACACACACACACACACTCATACAATCACTCACAGACACACATACTTATGCACACACTCAGTCACTCACAGACACACAGTCACTCAGGCACAGATACACTCACACACAGACACACATACACTCACACACATACACACATACACTCACACACACATACACACACAGTCACACACAGACACTCACACACACAGACACACAGACACACACAGTCACACACACACACTCAATCACAGACAGTCACTCACAGACACACAGACACGCATACACACACTCACTAATTATTTTAATAAATAAACATATTCCACCCAGCCTCCCTACCTGGAGAGCTGGTGTGGATGATGAATCATTCCCTGGGGTCCAGGGGGGCTGCTGGGCGGCGTGCGGCAGTGCTGTGATCAGGCGCGGCGAGGGAGCTCTAATCTCCACGCTCTGCTCCCTCGCGGGCTGCCTACTGATGACGTCATATTCCGGCTCCCGCGGCATCAGTAGACAGCGCGCGAGGCAGCAGAGCAGAGAGGTTAGAGCTCTCCTGCCGGTCACTGAAATATTGCGCCCCCGAAACCGGTGCGCCCTAAGGCGGCCTCCTGTGCCGCCTTATGGACGCGCCGGCCCTGATGGTGCAAAGACCTTGGATGCAACATCTTGAAGTTATGTTTACCAATTAATTCCACTCTGCTAAACCATGCTGTGCTTCATAAAGGAGGCCCTATTATCTCTACATCCATTGCTGTTATTCATGTTAAAGTTAGGTGTAGCTTCCACAGCACCGGACATTCTCTCCATGATTAGAGTCTGATTTCTCAAGCTGCCTCTGGTTACACACTGATCACAAAGATGCACATTGTAACAATGCAGGGAATGTCAGTGTATATTGCGCTGTAGCCTTTATCGTTAGCATGCACAGATGCATTGGAGTAAATCCTGGAGTTGTTTTTAACTGTAACTCATATTCTCACAGCCTAGTAATGCTCAATTTTAATATATGACACTTTAAACATGGCAACTTGAAGATGATTATGTTTTGATTTTGCATTCATATACTTAAATTGTGAACTTACATTAAAGTAACACTATAGTATTTGGAACACATAGATACATTCCTAGTGCTATAGTTTTCTGCTAACTATTTAGGTGTTTAGCCCTTGTCCTGGCCAAGTGCATTAAAAATTAGATTTGGCTTTATTATCAGCCCTTGCCGGCAGGCGCAACGGCTACTGGCGGTGCAGAAAGTATGACTTCACCAGGGTCCCAGTTAGTTATGGGCCCACCGACGACAGTAATAGTTGCACGCACCTGCAACAAACACAACCCTGAATTCAAACACCAACACTGTACATAAACACACCGCTGCAACCAAACACCATCCCTGTACATAAACACACCGCTGCATACAAACACCATCCCTGTACATAAACACACCGCTGCAACCAAACACCATCCCTGTACATAAACACACCGCTGCATACAAACACCATCCGTGTACATAAACACACCGCTGCATACAAACACCATCCCTGTACATAAACACACCGCTGCAACCAAACACCATCCCTGTATATAAACATATCGCTGCATACAAACACCATCCCTGTACATAAACACATTGCTGCATACAAACACCATCCCTGTACATAAACACACCGCTGCAACCAAACACCATCCCTGTACATAAACACACCGCTGCATGCAAACACCATCCCTGTACATAAACACACCGCTGCATACAAACACCATCCCTGTACATAAACACACCGCTGCATACAAACACCATCCCTGTACATAAACACACCGCTGCAACCAAACACCATCCCTGTATATAAACATATCGCTGCATACAAACACCATCCCTGTACATAAACACACCGCTGCATACAAACACCATCCCTGTACATAAACACACCGCTGCAACCAAACACCATCCCTGTACATAAACACACTGCTGCAACCAAACACCATCCCTGTACATAAACACACCGCTGCAACCAAACACCATCCCTGTACATAAACACACCGCTGCATGCATACACCATCCCTGTACATAAACACACCGCTGCATACAAACACCATTCCTGTACATAAACACATTGCTGAATGCAAACACCATCTCTGTACATAAACACACCGCTGCATGCATACACCATCCCTGTACATAAACACACCGCTGCATGAAAACAGCATTTCTGTACATAAACACACCGCTGCATGCAAACACCATCCCTATACATAAACACACCGCTGCATGCATACACCATCCCTGTACATAAACACACCACTGCATGCAAACACCATTCCTGTACATAAACACACCACTGCATGCAAACACCATCCCTGTACATAAACACACCGCTGCATGCAAACACCATTCCTGTACATAAACACATCGCTGCATGCAAACACCATCCCTATACGTAAACACATCGCTGCATGCAAACACAAATAAAAAAATCTAGAGATCTGGGGCAACAATATCACTGTACTCAAATTCAGAATCTCTATCTCTTATAAACTACAGCTCACAGGAACCATTGCCATCTATCACCTATGTTTTAGCTTGCAAAATTTCTTATATATTTAAGGCTAGTAACAGCTGGATACAAGTATTTATATACCAATACACCAAAATGAATTAAAAAATGATGATGTATTAAATACCCCTATAATGAATTTAAATATTATAGTGTATTAAATACCCCTATAATTAATTAAAATAATATGGTGTATTACATACGCCTATAATAAATTAAAACACAGTAATATGGTCTATTACATACTCCTATAATGAATTAAAATATTATGATGTATTAAATACCCCAACCCTATAATGAATTAAAATATCATGGTGTATTCCATTTCTAATTTATAAATAATTAGCACATACAATGTGCACGGAATATAGACTTTGCAATGTGGGCAATGAAAACTAGCAAATGTATGCATTATTGTTTAAGTATGTATCTACCTTTAGGCTATTTCTGATCCTGAGAGACAGGGATAGGTATAATTAATGTGCATGTCCACATGAGAGTTGGGGATTTAAATCGAGACTCTGAGATTGTGTTGCTAACTGCCAAATGCAGATCACAATCATAGCTTGGAACAAAACATAAATAAGCCCTCTTACAACTTGTTTGAAATGATTTATGTCAACAATTCAACATGTCGGTCACCTAAATATTAAAGGGTGAAAAATAACTGCTTGAAATGTCACACTTCTTTTAAATGTATTCAGGATGTATCTAATTATTACTCATTTTGATTAACTAAAAAAAAACATGTTATTTTAATGTGCAATTTGCATCAAAATTACAAGATTATTGTGTTTCTTATTATGGTTGAAATAATTCACAACTGCCTTGGGATTGTGATTTATTTTTATTACAAACACTCTTGCTTTGCCTAATGGGCAAATAACAGTAACGTGATTTATGCACTTAATAAACATGTTATGGTGGCTTTTTCACTTTTATAACTATTGTTACAATCCGACTAATGCTTGTCTAAAGAGGCATTAACTCCCTTCCATTAAAATGCAACACAATAAATGATTTACAGTACATAACCTTATGTCTTTCTATATCATTCAGACCTTGAGAAAACTATTCTAATGCATTTGGTTTACATTTATATCTTCCCATACCAGTAGCAACAAACTGTCTTTTAACCAGTACCAACAAGAACACTACTAACTGCATTCCAGCTTTTTCTAACTTCGACTCAGTGATGTCACAAAGATGAATCCACTATTTTTTAAAGTTGAGTACACAAGATTGGTTTTATGACTTTTTGTATTTTTTTTTAACAGATCATAATAATGAAAATGACAATATGTCAACATACCAGAAGCCTAAATTTTAAAAAAGTACTGATTTTTTTTTGTATATTTAAAATTTATAATAAGAAATCATTTAATTTCTGTATACACTATATATATTTTTTTATTAGTAAAACTGGAAATGAAAATGTTGTTCGGCACTTACCATTATTGAGAAAACAAATGCGACAATGTTTACGGGGTATGCAGGGCAGAAACAGGCAAATATCGTAAGAATCAGGTAATTGCTGGGCATTGGGGCCTCCGGGGCTTCATTTTCGATGTTGGTCTCCGGGCTAGCTTCTAGAGCCCTTTTGATTTGTGAATTGGATGGCGTTTGAGACATGGAAGTTTCAGTGCACAGAAAGGGAACTATGAAGGATAGTTCAGCTGTCTTGTTTGAGGATGAGGGGCGGCTGTGAAATCCAAGTTAGGAGTTTAAGGAACGAGTGATCTCATCTCTGCTGATGCCTGATCAGCAGAGCAGTAGCCAGGTTATATACTTGGTCGTACAGTGTAAGCTGACTGCAAAGCTACAGAAGGGTCATGAAGAAAGAATAATTCTGGGGCTAAATTTTAGAACTGGAACAATCCACAGGAGTTTCTGCTTTTACAAAACTGCAGACAAAATGCTCTTGATACATAGATTTATCAGTGTATTGGTAAATATTCTGCCACTTTTCTGGGATTTTCAAAATGATCCGTTCTGATGGTCTCTTCCACTATTTGTCTGCCACGTTTCGGTCATGTATATATTTTTTGCATTACTATTTGAGCAGTGCATTCCATTTATTTTATTAATTACTTCATACCAGAAAAGTACTTCCAAGAAGGACACTTTTCAGAACATTTTAATAAATTTCTCTCCTAGTATTTATGGTGATGTTGTGATTATATAAATGGATGTGTATCTGTTACTTTGCTGCCATTGCTAAAAAGAGCATACAACCATGCAGGGATTAACATGATCTAGGGTGAAGGCAACCTTCGGCACTCCGAATGTTGTGGACTAAATCGCTGTTAAAGCATCAGGGGAAATGTAGTCCAAAACATCTGGAGTGCCAAAGGTTGCCTACCCCTGATAACTGTGCTTGACCCACTGCAACAGAATGTATTTCAGATGAAATAATAAAAGATTTGCTGGAGCCAGGGCCGGCCTTAGGCCTTCAGGCGCCCTGTGCGAAAAATCTTAACAGCGATCCATGTGTATAGGGGATTTATTAAATGAAAATTTAAAAACAAACATTTATCCCCTCTTCCCTGTCATTGCCTTGCATGGAGGAGGGCATGCTGATCTCTGGTGATCCAGTTTGCTGGGAATCTGGTCGGTGCCTTCACTGGGTGCAGAACATCAGTCACTGTATCAGAGCTTTCTCGTGGTAATCCGCGGCAACGTTCTGATTGGCGGAACTCAGAAGACAGCTACATTTATCGTGTGTGTGTCAGACGTGATTGTGTGATGTGTTGGCTGTGTGCCATATTTGTAATGGATGCATTGACTGTGTCTGATATATGTGCGTATTAAGCAGTAG